TTCCTAAATGCCTCTGCCGAAGCGCTACTAAGTACGGAAGGCTGTTGATGACGCTGTCCTTTATCAGACCTAATTGATGCTACTTCTATCCTCACATCTTGTACTTCCTGCTTCATCTGAAGCATCATCTCCCGCATTTTACGCAATACTTCTGCTGGAGTGAGCTCTTCCTTCTTGTCTGGTACATTGTGAATGGTATTATCATTCTGTTGTGTTGAAATAATAACCTGTTGAACTAAATAGGTGGCCCGATACGCTGCCTCTGCTCAAAGTGCTGGAAATGTCAGATAGGAAGGAAGGACCTGGTGCTTAAGTAAATGTATTATGCTTATAGCTAGCTAATTATGCAAATCGTTGGAAGTTTCATAACTCCTCCTGGTTTATTAGGTACGACTTAACTTGTTTCCAACACTTAAAAATCACGTTAACTTTGGGAAAGCTATGGGTGTAGCGTTAAAGCAAGGTACATTTTACGCGCCGCAGGGGCAGGATGAGGGGCTAAATTGTAAGCACATCAAGCGCGCCAGAGGCAATGGACCTCAGCCAAGATGAGAAAAAGAGGGAGTTTTTTAGCTGCTAAGCAGCTCAGTGGTAATCGCAGATATTTTATCTGTGGTAATACAACATATCTGCTATGGCGTGCCCCCTTCGCTCACAGCTGATAGGCACGGAGATTTAGGCTTTTACTAAAGGGCGAAAAACAGAACCTCACGGGTACTATTAAATTCCAATTGGCGCAGGAGTCCTACTGCTGGAGAATAACTGGGTTCTATTGTACCTCATGAATGTCGAGATCGGTGCAACTCTCGCCATGAAAGATGGGGCTTGTAGCCCAGAGTTCTGAATCGTTGATATCAACAGCCGGGGCTTTGTGAGGTCGTGTAAAGTCCTAATAGATTGAGAAGCCTCGTACATGATAATATTGGATTCGTTGAGATATAAAGCAATGATCTTGATATGTGCCTTAAGCGTGCTCGGAAGACAAAAGCGGTAAGACTCAAGATCGAGATGGACGGAAACAAAGAATTGTTTTCCAGGGTATATCTCGAATAGTTTAGGGGGAAAGTTGAGCTTATCACCCATCAAGGATAAGTCTGAGAATACACGCTGAGCACTGATGAGACAGCTATCCTGCCGGCTTCCACGGCTATTTTCAATCCTTGTTAAAAGAGTAAACACGACATGGAGATGAGAAAACCACCATGCATGATACCCCGGGATGAAGTGTGCGATATAAAATTGACTTGGTTCCTGTAATTTTGCGT